CATCGCGATAGAATGGGGGGGCGGGGAATGGGCGGCGGGAACTCATCAACGCACCCCGGGGGCCTCCAGAGCCTCCAACTCTACGCTCCGTGGCCCCCAAGATGCTATCCAAGCTGACTCAAACTGGGCTCCGACGCGCCGAGGTGCCCTCAAAGACGACCAAGACGGCCTCAGGACTGCGTGGGAGGCCTCACGCCCAAAGAGAGCTCCAAGGGCCTCAAGAAACAATCGTCCGGGTCTCTTGGAGAAACATGTGTGTTCGACATGTTCGTTGGACGGCTCAAGAGGCCCCTAAGACCAGCCCCTGAGATCCGACGTTGCAGAACAAATGCAACCTCGCGAAAACTCCGGAGCGGAGCCCTAGACCCGATCATTCTGAGCCATTCTGCGAGCCGGATGGATCTATGAGGGCGAGAAGGCCGGGCGCGGAAAAGTAGCAACGCCCGCATCTCAGGGTCCGTGGACCCTTCCCTCCCCTGCCCCTCTTCGTCATCGCCCTGCCTCCTCCCTGAGCCTATCCTCCGTTCACGTTGCCCCCTGGGCGTTCGGGTCATGAGTCGGGTCTCCAGCGGCCGTTCGGGACCATCCAGGCACACCCGGAACACGCACGGCCACGCGCAGCTGCTGGAAGGCATCCCGAGACTAGAAAACCACAGGGAACCAACGGAAACGCAGGAAACATCAAAACTAGAAGAAAAAGAAACAACACACCATACACATAAACTGTTGGCGTTCCGCGCGAATTCCTTGGGTCTCCGCTGGGCCCTCCTCCCTGGCGCGCGGAGCGCGCCAGGGGGGCGCCGCCGAGGGGGCCCAGCGCAGATCCAAGAAATCCGCGCGGAGCGCCAAACGTTGGTGTTATGATGCTTTTTCTCCTTCGGAAACCTCGAACCGTAAACCTCGACCCTCCCCAATGCTGCCCCTGAGCTCCCCCTCCTCGCCTCCGCCCTGCCTCCTCCTCCTCCTCCTCGCCTCCGCCCTGCTGCGGGGCCTCGCGGCAGGCGGCGGTGCCCTGTCGGAGCCGCAGGCGCCGATGCCGTCGGGGCCGCCAGCGCCAGGGCCCGAGCCGGCGCCGCTGGGCGCGCCCGCGGGTGGCGCCGCCGGGCGGGCCTGGCAGCCGCTCCTGCCAGGGCCGGAGGGGGAGGGGCCCAGATCTCCGACGAGGCTGGCTTGGGCAACCGGCGGTTGCTCCTCTTTCCAGCCTCGAACTTATCCCTATCCCTACGATCGGCACGCCAAAAGGCGCTGACAGTCTTAGGGATTCGCCCTCAAAAAATAAGGGAATCCCCAAGATCGGCATCGTGATGATGAGATGCCCAGCGTAGGGGTAAGGATATGTTCCAGGCTGGTAATCCTCGAGGTGGGCCTCGCCTTTGCCTGTTCCATGGGCCTCCTGGGAGGCCCTCGTCGCCACGGCAGGATCCGCCTGGAAACTCTCAGGTCCGAACGCACCCCAGCAAAAGGTCCGTCCGGGTCGGGCCGGAGATAGGTTCGAAGATCGAAATTTGAGACTGTCGGGCGTGTTCTTCCGTTCTCGCTGGTGTTCCGGCCTCGGGGTGTTCTCCACCAAGTGCCTCGCCAAAAGCGTTCAGGTGCGGGGGTGCCTGGATCGTATACCGGACGGCCGCCGGAGAGCCGAGTTTGAACACTCGACGATCTGTGTTCTCACTCCCGCCGCCTTTCCGGAAGAGGCCTCCGAAGCCCGCTCTCGGGTCCCGAGAATACCAACCAAAAACGGATCCGGGGCGATAGTCTGCCCCCCCTTCCGACAAAGGGCTCGGGGCTGGTGAAAGGTACCCTTGGATGTTCTGTGTGTTTTGGCCGGTGGAGGGTCCCATGTTCTTGAAAGTCAGACTGGCAGATGGCTGGGGGGGCAGCGCGCGAATCGGATCGCACAAGTGGGCTCTCTCGGGCGCCTCCCTCCCCGGGCCGCCGAGGGCGGCCACGTGCCCACGCCTCCTCCGAGATGCGCGTCTCGATCCGCTGCCCCAGGGGTTCCGACCCAGACACCCGACGTCGTGATCTGTTCACGACATGTCCGTCAAAAATCCGAACCCCTCCCCGGGAAGCGGCTCTTCTTCATCCCGAGTCGTTTTCGGCCCGCCCCGAAGTCCGGGAAGGGCCACGGGAGGCAGAACATCGCCACAACGAAAACCTCCCTCCCGATCTGTTCTCAACGCGATGGGATCAGGGGGCGCCTTCCCATAAAGAATGTTTTTTTCAGTCCCCGATCCATGCTTGATGGCCCCCCCGGGCCCGATGGCGGGCCCCGAACCCGAGATCGAGGAAGCGCGCCGGGATTGACGCGGCCCCAGAACGGCGACCTCTTAGCAGCATGCCGAGCCCCTGCGAAAGGGGCACCAATGAACGGGGTGGTAGCTAAGGGGCCTCTACGAGCGAGTGCAGGGCGACAGGGTAGTTACCTCGCACCAGTGCGGGGCAAGTCGGGGGCGACGAACGAAACCGTCGACGCATCATCGTGGCTCCGGGCGGGGGGAATCACCTCGCACTTATATGCGCGGCGAGCCAATCTCTCGAAGGCGCCACTGGAAACGCGCCCTTGGCTGCCATCGGCCCCGTTGACACACACACTCCGTCTGCAAGGGCTCGGGCTAAAGTGAAAAAAGGGCGGGTCGAGGAGCTGCTGGAGGTCGGCGAGCGGCGCCGTGTGCATGCGCGGGCGGCGTTTAGTTTTTTAAACCGCGTTTTGGAAGTAGCACAACATGCCGCGCTGGCCCCCCCCACACACACCTGAAGGGAAACTGGGACACACAAATAAATACACACAAATAAAATTGTTCCCCATATTTTCTCATATGTTCTGGGTTTTTGTCTTCCCCCCCATTTCCCATATTTTCCCATATTTTCTGGGAATCGCAGATTAATTGTGTCTGTGTGTTTTTTCCCCTCCTGAACACCGCCCACCCCCCCCAGATGCGAAGCTGAAGAGACCGACGAGAAACGACAGCGATGGACCTCGTCGGTGGCGTGGTCGCATCGCTTCGTTGCTCAGCTCTGCATCGCTGGGGGGAGGGGGGGGGGCGCGGGCGGCGCGTTCGCCCTAGCTCGGCGACAGATTCGGCTGCCGCCGCATGGGCGCGCCGCGGCATTTCCGCTCCGATCGCCTCCCGAACGGCGCAATCTGGGGCAGCGCGGTCAGAAACTTCGTACCTGGCAAGGACCAGGACTGTCCGCGGTGTCACCAAAGCCTCTGCGCGGTCGTTTTTACCGCGCACCCCGGGCCCTTCGCTCGGCGCCGCGCTACTGGCATTGCAGCCTGACTGGGGGAAACATCGTGCAATGCGCGCGACGCAGCGAACTGATGCTGCAGGTCGACTCCGCCATTTGCTCCAAACAATGCGGGAACGCCCCCTGTCGTCGCTGTCGCGGCAGTGTCGCTGAAACCGTGTAGGAGCCGGTAGGCGCTGCGTAGAAACCGCGTAGATACCGTTTTTGTTTTGTTTTTTATATAATTAAAAATAGAAGCCAGTCCAACCCAACATGAATACATCGGCGCTACGAAAGTTTGACCCGTTTTGCGTTTTCAACTAAACAACAAACCTCATTTTGCAGGAGGTCCTGCGCGGGAGCGCCATTTCGAAATCGAGGCAGACAGGTTTCGACTTCTCTGTTTGAGGAAGTCCTGCGCGGGAGCGCCATTTCGAAATCGACGCAGAAAGGTTTCGAATTCTATGTATGCGCAAGTCTTAGGCAAGAACGCAATTGCGAAATCGAACACGGAAGTTTCGAAATCGTTCAATTGTTTTAGAATATCAAGCGAAACCGCCGTTTCGAAATGGCCACACCGTTTGGCATTAAAAACTCTAAAAGCCCTGACCCGAAAACTCGAAAATGCAGCTTTCGCTCAGGACTTCCTCCCCGGAACGAGCTCGACTGGATTTCGAACCCTCGGGCTCGATTTCGAAATGTGGCTTTCGCCTAGGACTTCCTCCACAAAACGAGCTCGACTGGATTTCGAAACCCGCGGGCTCGGTTTCGAAAGGGCGGTGCCGCCCGAAAGTGAAGCGAAACATGTTTCAACCGAACATTGTATTGGGGCCCCGCGGCATATCGGGCCCACTGCCAACGTTGTACTGGCGCCCCGTCGCCTAACGGGAGACGTAGAATTTTGGCCGAACCTTTGTAGCGGCGAAGTAACTTTATAGTGTAAGACGTTATAAAATGTGCAGCGGTTTGTATGTTACAAATGCGTGGTTTTTACGCGGTGCCTAATGGTTCCTGTGCTGTTTCTACAACAGAGCAGCAGCGGCGGCGTTGGGCTCCACACTCACAGCTGGAATAGGGAAACGGCCTGCCTGCCTTACGAATCAAATTGAAATTTCACATGGGAGCGGTCCGACGGCGACGACGACGACGGCGACAACGACGACCGAGGGCCGCCCAAGACGCGGGCGAGACGGCGCCGCCGATGGACGTCCCCGCGCCGCGTCGCGTCGAAACGTGTTGGGATGCACGTAAAACGGGAACGTATGATGCACACCTGGCCGATGCACTGCGTTAGCTAGATCTGGTGCGCGCGGGGGAGGAGGGGAAACACCATCCGCGCGCGGTGATATGTCGAGAACATGCGCGGGAACGCGACGCCCGAATGCTTCCCCGAGAAGTCCGCACGGACGGTACTGTATTATGGACCGCACCTTGGAAGTCGAAAAGACAAGCGCCGCGCAGCCCCCCCACCCCCCACCCCCTGATGCAAAGCTCAGGAGACCGGCGAAAGACGACAGCAATGTACCTCATCGGTGACGTCGTCGCGTCGCTTCGTTGCCCAGCTTTGCATCGCTGGGGGGAGGGGGAGGGGCGCGGGCTGCGCGTTCGCCCTGGCTCGGCGACAGATTCGGCTGCCGCCGCATGGGCGCGCCGCGGCATTTCCACTCTGATCGCCTCCCGAACGGCGCAATCAGGGGCAGCGCGGTCAGAAACTTTCGCACCGGGCAAAGCACTCCCTGGAATCCCTACGGACGCTGACGGGCGGGAAAGGGGGCGAGAGCACGGCCATGTGCACCGTGATGCTTTTGTGTAGTGGGTCGTGGCGATCGGGACCACAAATGTAGACAGGATTCAGGCGAGGCCACGCTTCCCGAGCACAGTGTGAAGAAGTCTCAGGCGAGACGGCTGCCGGACCGGGCATCCTCGGGCTCCACGGCCCCCCTGTGGGACTCTTCTGTGGTCTCTGTACCTCGATCTGCAAGAACCCCAGGATAGCGAGACGCCAGCAGGGAACCTTATATCGTGGGTGGGAGACCAGGGTGTGTGCCGAAGGGAGAATGCGCCCGGCGGAGAGGCCGAGGGCAGCTGCACGCAGTTTGCGTACAACCCTCAGGTGGAGACATCAGAACCCGACCCTCGACAATCATCGATTCTCCTGGATCGACGGACGGCGGGAGTAGGGTACGGCTTTAGCCACGCGGTCGACGAACTCCGAACCCCCCGCCGCCCATCGAATTGCCCGAATCGTTGATGGGCGAGGGTAGGGTTCCGAAATTCGCTGCCGAACCTCCCCCCGTATAATGGCCGATTCTCCACCACCAATACCATAGATAGGATAGGGAGGATGGGGAGGATGAGGAAGAGGAGTAGGAGTAGGAGGAGGAGGATGAGGAGGAGGGTCGGGGGAGGAGGAGCAGGAGGAGGAGGAGGAGGAGGTAGGGGGAGGAGGAGGAGGAGGAGGTACGGGGAGGAAGAGGAGGAGGAGGAGGAGGAGGAGGAGGAGGAGGAGGAGGAGGAGGAAAAGGAGGAGGAGGAAAAGGAGGAGGAGGAGGACCTCGCCACCACTGCCCCGCCACCACCGTTCGCTCGCCCCGATCCTGCCAGCTGCGGCTGCGGCGGGCCCGCCCGCGGGGCCTCCGGCGCCGCGTGAGCAAAGGATGGCGAGACCAAGGGTTACTCCAGATTTCGTAATAAAGGGAGGGGGGTCTCATTTCGGGGGGGGGTCTCTTCCAGGCCATCTTGGAGGGCCTGGAGGGGTCTGGGGACGGTGTTTTGGAGGGTTCTCCCACGGGGGAGGTCTGAAATGGATTGTCTTGGAGGGTCCAGACCCCCTCCCTTTTATTACGAAATCTGGGTTAGGGATCTTGTGCGCAACGAAATGTAGTCAAACAGTACGCCAAAAATATCAATATTACTCCTATAGGGGAACAGGCACGACTTCATCCTAGAGGGCACCCGCCCTGCCTGTGCAGAAGATGCCGGCAACTCTGAAGAAGCAGGGGGTGCTTCTAAGACGCCGTCCCCCTCCCCCTAGACCCCCCGCTGCGCGTGACTGCACGGCAGAGCGTTCCCCACCTCGGAAACCCTGCTTCGGGCCCTGGGACAACACAAACGGCTCCCAGGACCTAGGAACAGAAACGTCTGTGGCATCTTCGGTGGAAACCGTCGGGCACAAGAAAGAAGACCGCAACTTGCAGTACAGACAGACTTCCCCGATGATGCAGTGTTAGACCAACGGTCCGTGGGATTTCGTCGAGCGGTCGGGGGCCCCAAGCTACGGATAACTATCACGACGTCGGATGTTTGCCATCGCGGCGAGCCCGGGGGGCAAAAGAGAAGGGGCCGGCCTCCTTAGAAGGCTTTGAAGTCCGCCCGGCCTTCTGAGAAGTCTTCTAAGCCCTCCCCGAAGACCCTGAAAACCTCTCAGAAGGTCATAGGCCTTAGGCCTTCTGAGAAGTCCCGCCGGCTTCTGAGAAGGCCTTCTCCTTCTCACTTCCCCCCATCGCTCGCCGCCGATCCTTGGCTGGCCTTGCTCACCGCATGGAGGCTGTCGCGACATCGCCGGTGATGACTTCGCCATGAGGGACCTGGTACCCTCGTCTGCTCCCTCGTACCGCAGCCACAACGACTCCAAGTCCGCCTTCTCGACGCACTCTGAGTAATCGACCCTGTGGCTGGACAGAAGCTCCTCTCGGCATTGAGCGAAGGGGGGGGCGGGGAGGGAGACAACTCCTTCTCGGCAGACTGCGGGGCTCCTCCGAAGCCCTCCGGCCTTCTGCGCAGCTTCCTGTGCCCCTGGGGACGGCCGAGACAGCTCCTCCGAAGGCCGGGGGGCCTCCCGAGCCCTCGAAGAAGGCCCGCCACTTCTCTCGTTGCCTCCCCCAGGCGCGCCGCCGATCCTTGAGCTCCCTCACGGATCTGGCACTGCTGGCACCTGCGCCGGCGCAGCCTCCGCCGCTGCCTGCGGGCGGCCCCGCGCCTCGGCCCGCGGCGGGCGGCGCTGGCGACGGGCTGTCCTCTGGCGGCTCGCGGGCAGGCGCTGCGGCGCCCGGGTCGCCGCAGCTGCTGCCGGTGCTTGGCGAGCTCAGGGACGCGCAGCTGCTGAGGGCGGGCTCCGTCCGCCGGTGGCGAGCCGAGGCTGATGATGGGCCTGTTTTCCACCGCCACCACCGTAAGCTGGATGGGGGGGGAAGGAGGTGGAGGACAGGGAGGGGGAGGACGAAGAGGAGGAGGAGGAGGAGGAGGAGCAGGAGAAGGAGGTGGAGGAAGTGGAGGAGGAGGAGGACCCCCTCCCCCTCCAACTGATGGTGGTGGTGGAAGACAGGCCCATCAGCTGAGGCTGCCGCTTCTGCCCGTGGCTCTCGGCCAGCTGCGGACGGACCCGGGGCGTTGCAGCTGCTGCCCGTGCTCGGCGAGCTCAGGGAAGCGCCCCTGCCAGAAGTGGGCTCCTTCGGGAGGCGGTGCTGTGGAGGGAAAGAAAACGAAGATCAGGACCAAGACTGCGCGCGGAACCGTCGATGCCGACCTTGGTCATCGTCAAGTCCTGGATCATCCTCGCGAGTCGGCGACGGCTGCCATGGACAATGCTCAAGATCGGCGACGACAAGGTCCAGCTTCTGCTTGGTCATGGTGATCGCGTTTTTTCCCTCGGTGCTGGGAGGCAGTCGAGAGCGCGTCCTCTGCCCGCGTGGGCGTCTCCGAGTGGAAGCAGGCGGCGGGCGCCCCCTGCCAGCGCCGTGCCTAGAGAGGAAAGCACTGCAGAAACAGAAACTTTCGGAGGTCCTTGCGGGCTTTCAAAATCTGGAGGGCTCTCAGTTATGTGATTTATCGAGGGCCCTCAGTCACACCAGCCCTCTGGGCGTAGGTGATTTTTAATGGGTTTCCTCTTCCGCCCCCATTTTTCCCTTTTTGGGGATGGGGGTTATCACTGTTCTCTATCAATATACACCCCCTCCCCCACGCGACTGGAAGCCAACCGGGGTCCATGCGCCCCCCCCCCACCATCCCTTGTAAAAAACCATACAACACACACGCACACGCAGACGCAAACGCAGACGCAGACGCAGACGCAGACGCAGACGCAGACGCAGACGCAGACGCAGACGCAGACGCAGACGCAGACACATACGCAGACACACACACACACACATACACACACAAACACACAAACACGCAAACACACAAACACACAAACACACAAACACACAAACACACACACACACACACACGCACACACGCACACACGCACGCACGCACGCACGCACGCACGCACGCACGCACGCACGCACGCACTACGCACGCACGCACGCACGCACGCACGCACACGCACGCACGCACTGCACGCACGCACGCGCACGCACGCACGCACGCACGCACGCACGCACGCACGCACGCACGCACGCACGCACGCACACACACACACACACACCACACACACACCCACGCACACACACACACACACACACACACACACACACACACACACACACACACACACACACACACACACACACACACACTCTGCCTCCAAATTCGGAGCATGCGCAGCGAACCCGATGCGGCTTCCCCCCACCATCCCTGTCAAAAAACCATACAGAGTACACTGGCGGCGGCGGCGGCTGCGGCGGCTGCGGCGGGGCGGCTGCGGCGGCTGCGGCGGTGGCGGGCGGCGGCGGCGGCGGCGGCGGCGGCGGGGGCGGCGGCGGCGGCGGTGGCGGCAGCGGCTGCGGCGGCAGCGGATGCGGCGGCGGCGATTCGGCAGAGGGGGCGGCGGCGCGGCGGCGGCGGGCGGCGCGCGCGGCGGCGGCGGCGGCGGATGGCGGCGGCGGGCGGCGCGGCGGCGGCGGCGGCGGCGGCGGCGGCGGATTCGGCCCCAGTAGCTGTCGTCCATCCAAGAACGACTGCTGAATATGCTGCGGCTCGGGCCAGACTCGGGTGCTACGTATGTGTTGGGAGGGCGGGTGGGAGTGAGCGAGACGGCTTGCGGGCGGGGAGGGGTCTTGATCAGTGTTCTCTATTAATAAACACCCCCTCCCCCAGGCGACTGGGGGCCAACCAAGGACCGTGACGACACCCCCCCCACCACCCCTTGAAACAACAATACAAAACACACTCTGCCTCCAAATTCGGAACATGCGCAGCAAACCCGATGCGGTCCCCCCCATCCCTGTCAAAAACAATACAGCGTACACTTGGCGGCGGCGGCGGCTGCGGCGGCTGCGGCGGCGGTGGCGGCGGCTGCGGCGGCTGCGGCTGCGGCGGCGGCGGCGGCGGCGGCCGGGGGGGCGGCGGCGGCGGCGGTGGCGGTGGCGGTGGCGGCTGTGGCGGCGGTTTGGCAGCGGGGGGCGGCGGCGGCGGCGGCGGCGGCGGCGGCGGCGGCGGCGGCGGCGCGGCGGCAGCGGCGGCGGAAGAGGCGGCGGCGGCGGCGGCGGATTGGCCCCCAGTAGCTGCACCCATCGAAAGACGACTTCTGAATATGCTGAGGCTCGGGCCAGACTGGGGTGCTACATATGTGCTGGGATGGCGGGTGGGAGTGAGCGAGACGGCTTGCGGGCGGGGAGGAGGTCTTGATCTCTCCCCCCTACCCCTTCCCCTGGACCTGGACGGGGCCAGTCGCAAGCGGTCAGGGCGTCCAAAACGGCCTCTGCGAGGAAGCCAGAATCACTGGTTTCACTGAGGTTTTGGCCCCATGTTGGCCTCATTGGGGGGTGACGCTGAAACAGCTCCCCTCTTCTTTAATCGATCTCTTCCAAAATGGCCCCAAGAGGCGCCCAGGAGGCCCCAAGAGGTCCCAATATTGCCCAAATATGGCTCCAAGAGGCCCCCAAGAGGCCCCCAGGAGGCCCCCCCGAGGCACCCAAGACGCCTAAGAGCCCCCCAGGACCGCCAAAAGACCCCCAAGACGTCCCAACAGGCCACCAAGAAGCGCCCAAGAGATACCCCAAGAGGCTCCGAAGGGCATCCAAGAGACCTATGGCCTTTTTGCTTGCCCTCTTCCTCCTCCTCCTTCTGCTCCTCCTTCCTCCTCCTACTCCTTCTCTTCCTCCTCCTCCACCTCCTCCTTCTGCTCCTCCTCCCTCTCTTCATCCTATTCATCCTCCTTCTCCCCATTCCTCATCCATCCAGCCTCCTCCTTCTCCTCCTCCCTCCTTCGCACGGTTCGGCAGTCCCCCTCTTTGCTCCCGCAGTTTCCTGATCACTTCAACTCGCCTGGACATCGTTTCTGTATGGGCTGGTGGGGATAGTTTTTTTGTTCGGCGGCCCGCAAGGAAAAGTCCAGAGGGCGTGTCAATCAACGCTGGTGGGGATACTTTTTGATCTGCGGCCCGCAAGGAAAAGCCCAGAGGGCGTGTCAATCAGGCTAACTGGGGCACAGAGCCAGATAGAGCTGGTGGGGATACGCGAAGCGTGTAGAAATGTTTGAACATCAATGGGGACAAGGTATTTCAAAATTCTCGAATGCAAGCGGTAGGGAAAGAAACTGCTGCATACACATCAACTGTCCGAGTTTCGCGCGGATTTCTTGGATCTGCGCTGGATCCCCCAATCCCTGGCACGCGGAGCGCGCAAGGGGCGGCGCTAGAGGCACCGCCAGAGTGGCCTTGCGCAGATGCACGAAATCCACGCGGAGCTCCGAATAATTTTCTTAATCAGCGCAATTTTGTGGAGAGGGGGAGGGAAGGGGAAAAAGGATGCGGACAGCCGACGACCCGAGTACAGTACCAGCTGTCTCGTCTCAGTGCCCTCTCAAGGCTACAGCGTTTGTGGGCAGCCTGCGGCTGGAGGCCGAAAAACCACCCACGCCATGACATTCCACGCCGCAATGGTGGAATGGGGCTGCAGATTCCTGCGCCCCTGCACCGACATAACACGATTACGGTCAGTTCATGCGGCGCCGGCACGCGCAAAGGTTTTTGACATCGCGTCGATCGTTCAACCTTGAACCGATCGCGGCCCCGATCGTACAGGGTTAAATGTCGTCAGGTCCTGTGGCGTCACCGTGCCCCTCATTGGTTCCGCGTAGTTCTATCATGGGGAGATCAGCCTTGAACGCGTTCGTTGGCGTCGCCGGCGCGCCACCGCCGCATGAACCTACCGTACGGCAAGACTGCATCATGCCGCCGAGCTCCGACAGGTTATACATACAAGTTTAGGCCGTTGTGTTGCTCCTCCAGTGCCTGAAGGCCGCCGCTGGCGCCCAGCGGCCCCGGCGGGCCGCCCGTACCCGAGGCGCTGGTGGGGCTGAAAGGCACCTGTTTGCGTGATCGGCCCGAACAAGAGCATGACTGCCCATGATGGACATACATTGGCAACTCTCTGTCGCTATAGAGGCAGCTCTCAGTCGCTATTCCACACGAGGCCACCAACCGCTCCGTTCATGAACCCAAGCGATCCAATGTCTCTAGCCTGTGACCGACACATCTAGCGCCGTCGCTGAACCGTACCACCCGGCTGCGTGTGACAAAAACCTTGTCCCGATCCGTGGCTGCCGCGATCGCCGCGGCGACCTCCCAAACCGACCCGCAGGTTTTCTTCGGAAGCGGATGTCGCCGCGCTGTTTGGGCTCCATGCGCCCAGGTGGGCGACGCCGACACCATGGCAAATCCACCGCAAGCCCTGCGCCCCGCGACCCAGGCGGGCCCAGCTGGCACCGCGGCGATACCCCCCAGCGAGCCCACCGGGCCCGAGGCGGCGCTTGCCCTGGTGGCCGCGGCGCCCTCCCAAAGACGCACGGCCGCGCGCCAGAACAAACGGCGCAGCGACATATCCCGAGGGAGAAAAACCACGTGAACTTACACTTTTGGCGCTCCGCGCGGATTCCTTGGATTCGCGCTGGGCCCCCCTCTCCGGCGCACGGAGCGCGCCAGGGGCGGCGCCGGAGGCGCCGCCAGGGGGGGCCGGGCGCGGATCCGAGAAATCCGCGCGGAGCGCCGAACAGTTTCTGTTTATGTGGTTTCTTCTTCTTCTTCTGATTCTTCGCCTTCTGCTTCCTCTTCCTTTTTTTTATTATTCTTCTTCTCCTTCTTCTTCTTCTCCTCCTTCTTCTCCTTCGAGTATCCTGCGGCGCGCGCACCTGCAGGTTGGCCTCGGCGTGCCTCGGGGGGCTGCCGACGGGGCTCCGGAGCTCCGGCCGCGGCGTGCGGGGGCGCGCGGCGCGCCCCGCTGCCGAGGAGCTGGCGGCGGACGGCGGGGAGGCCTCCGCGCGCGCCCCCGGCTGGCGGCACGGCGTGGGCACCGCGCCCTCCGCCGGGTCGGCGCGCGCGGTGGCCCTGCGGCTGTTCAGGCGCTGGAGGAGCCCGCCGCCCTGCCGAGGGGTTGCAAAAAAACGAAGGATTGCAAAAAAAACCCGGGATTGCAAAAAAAAACGTTTTGTTTGTTTTTTGCAATCCGTTTTTTTTGCAATCCTTCGTTTTTTTTGCCATCCTTCGGGTTTTTTTGCAATCCTTCGTTCAAGCGAGAGAGACTGCCTACCCGACCACCCCAACCCAACCCGAAGACCCGAATTTCGGGTTGGGGGGGGCACGGGTTCCATGTGTGTGTTTCTGCCGATGCTCCCCGACCCCTCCCCCCCCCCACTGGAGATGGAGGGCAAATTGAGGCCTTCGGGTCGGGTTGGGGTGGTCTGGTGGGTGGTGAGAGAAGGGAGGGGGGCTGGCACAGGGGAGCGTCAGGGGACGATTCGAGGTTCGAGGTGTTCGAGGTGTTCGAGCGTCGTCGTCGATTCTTGGCGGTCTGCCAACCTCCAAAAGCCTTCCAGCGGCCGCGCCTCGTTGCGAGCGTTCCGATGGTGCCCGGGTCGTCCCGAACGGCTGTCGGAGGCCCGAGTTATCATGACCTGAGATCCTGCGGGGGAGTGGCTCAGTGGGGGGGGGACATCGACCTGGCATCGGCGATTCATCGCCGATGGATGGGCGATAGGCCCCCGATAGCAGCTCCGCATGCTCCTGGGCGGGAAGGGGCTATCAGACCCCTGTCGACGACCAGTGGGCGATTGGGGGTCGATGCGTCCCCCTACGCACGATGCTGGGCTCGGGGCCCACTGGCTCGCCCCCCAAACAGGATGGGTCTCAGGGTCCCTCGCCCCCCCCCCCCAAGATGGGATGGGGAGGGGGACGACGACGACGACGACGACGACGACGACGACGACGACGACGACGACGAAGACACCGTCCTCTCCAACTCCCGTCCCAAAAACACCGCAACACCACGCCACACCTGGAGGGAGGCGACGACAGGAAGACACCGTCAACGACGATGTTGCTTCTCCTCCTCCCTCCGCCCCCCTCCACATCCCTCCCTCCCCGTTCCTTGGCCCTCTCTTCCCTCCCTACCTCCCCTCCGTCAAGTGTAACGGGTTTACGTCATGCCGAGGACGGCGATGCATGTGCCGATGCCGATGCCGACGCTGATGTCGTCATAGTCGCCCTCCTCCTCCTCCTCCTCCTCCTCCTCCTCCTCCTCCTGCTCCCCCTCCACCTCCTCCTCCTGCTCCTCCTGCTCCTCCTCCTGCTTCTCCTCCTCCTCCTGCTCCTCCCTGAGGGGGGGGGGCGGGCAAGGTGGGGACCCCATACCGACCAACGCACACCCACAGGGGAAGCCCCCACCACGCCACGCCCACAGGTATGGGGGGGGCGCCGTCGCGCGGGGGGGAGGCGGGCCTGATGGCATCAGCATGGGGGGGGGGGTGCAGTACCCATAGAAGAAGACAAACCACACAAACATAAAAGTTTTGAGTTCCGCGCGGGTCTCTTGGACTCGCGCCTGGGCCCCCCTCCCCGGCGCGGAGCGCGCCAGGGTCGGCGCCGGAGGCGCCGCCAGGGGGGGGGCCAGGCGCGGATCCGAGAAATCCGCGCGGAGCGCCGAACAGTTTATGTTTATGGTGTTGCTTCTTCTTCGCCTGATGGCATCAGCAGGGGGCGGGGGTGCAGTCCCCTGGAGTACGCATAACCCCCCCCCTATCGTCAGGTCGGGCGCGTCCCCCTACAGGCGGAGTTTGGGCGAAGACATCCAATAGTTTTAACTAAAAGAATCAAGCGTAACGAGAAAATATAAAATCGTCCCCAGGCGCGGCCACAAGAATCCCTCGCAAGAAACCCAACCTTGAGAACCCGTACGCAAGGTGCACCTGAAGGGGAAACCTGGAGCACCCTGAACGCAACAGCTTCTTCAGCGGCTGCGGGGAAGTCACCGCGCAGCGCGAGGGGCGAAGAGACCCAGGATACCCTGACGAAAAGCACCTGGTGTCTTGATGCGCGCCCCCTCTGTAACCCCAGGAAGCATGTAAGAACCCCCCCCCTCCGGCAAATCGATAACCCTTCCGCACCTCATCCATATCCGCATCATCATCATCATCATCATCATCATCATCATCATCATCATCATCATCATCATCATCATCATCCTCATCCTCATCCTCATCAGCATCATCATCATCATCAATCATCATCGTGTCCGGGTGCTACAGCTATCGTTCGGTTCTTTCGGCCCTTCGGGATATCGAATCAAAGATGCGGGGCGGGGGGGGTTCTTACATGCTTCCTGCTTCCTCCTGTAGAGGGACAGGCCCGACTTCACCCCGGCGTTGCCCCTGGCCTGCGGCGACGGCGTCCCGGGGCCCGCCGAGGGCGCCGCGGGGCCCTGAGTCCGCCGCGCCTTGGCCGGCGGCTCCAGGGAGCTCGCGTCGGGGCGGGGGGGCGAGACGCGGACCTGCCTCGCCTCCCACCTGCGATGGGCCTGCTTTCCACCACCACCACCACCACCACGAGGTGAAGGACGAGGGGGTGGAGGAGGAGGAGGAGGAGGTGGTGGAGGAGGAGGAGGAGGAGGAGGAGGAGGAGGAGGATGTGGAGGAGGAGGAGGAGGAGGAAAGGGAGGAGGAGGTGGAGGATGACGAGGAGGAGGAGAAGGAGGTGTCGGAGGAGGAGGAGCAGGAGGAGGAGGAGGAGGAGGCGTTGGAGGACGAGGGGGAGGAGGAGCAGGAGGAGGAGGAGGTGGAGGAGGAGGTGGAGGAAGAGGAGGAGGAGGAGGAGGAGGAGGAGGAGGACCCCCTCCCCCTCCAACTCATGATGATGATAATGGAAACCAGGCCCATCAACCGGGGCCGCGCAAACATTGATTTGCGATCCATGGATTGCGCGCGGTCGCCAAATCCCTGGATCAGGCGAGGTGCCTTCACCGAGATGCAGCCGTTGCCGCCTCGGTCGGCGGCGGAAATCAGCGATTTCCCATGGAAACGGGGCCCGTCGCTAATCCACGCCCCCTTGATTCGGCGGCGGACAAACCTCCCTTTAATAAACGGCCTGGGACCGAAACCGACGGACCCGGACCCGCAAACATGACGGCCGCGACGCCCTCTAGCGAACCGAAAACGGCCAATTCCTTAATCGACGCGTCAGGGTAGGAGGTCTGTCCACCCCCGATTGATCAGTGCGTGCGATCGCATGACACCTGTCCAGCGCCGCCCTGAGCGTGGCGGGGCCGAAGAAGATCCCCTTCGGGAGGGCGCCAGCCCTCTGCGCACGCTGGCTCTGGCCAGGCCGGGCTCGGGCCCATGCCCCCTAGGATTATGTTACCCCCATCGTGCTTAAGGACGACATCCCAGAAATAATTTCGAGCACCTGGAGAAGTGTCGAGAGAGTGTCGAAATAGTGTCAAAACAATGTCGGACGAGTGTCTCCCAGGGCCCGACACGTGAAACTCCTAGAGTTTTGGGTACTTTTCTTGCGCTCGATTTTTTTGATGATCCAGGCTAAAGTAGGTTCGAACATCTAGGACAAATAATGCAACCTTTGCAGGCCGTGCCGAATCGTCTGTGCGTGGTGGTGTTTCATCCCGAGCGGTAGTGTTTCATCCGGGGCCGCTTCTGGCCCCCTGAGAGACCAGAAGCGACGAGAAAACGAAGGCGACGAAAGGATACAAATCCACGATTCAACTCGCATGACTTTCCTGGGCAGTGCATGATCGGTGGCTACCCAGCTAGCCAGGCGTCTGGCGACCCCAATCCCCGAATTTGGGGGCGTTCGGCGGGACCAAAAAATCGGGGCCCAACTCAGAAATGTGATGTGGGGGGCGTCCGAATAGCCCCCTGAAGGTGTACCCCCAACTTTCCCTTCTTTTCTGAACGACCTTTATTTTTCGGGGGCAACTTGGGGATGTGGGGCGAAACATCGCCTGTGAGCCGGCCTGGCAAGGATCGGCGCTGGTGGGCAACCGAGCGCCCCCCCCAGCCTTTGCCCGGATGCCCTCGCCCGAGTCGATGCGCTTCCGGAACGCGGCCGCGGCATCCGCGCCCTTGTCCTCCAGCAGCCTGACCGTGTACCCTACTTTTGCGTCCTCGGACAGGGTCTTCGGCTGCGGCTCTGCCATGGCACGAAACAGGAAGGGAGGGAGGGAGGGAGGGGGATCGGGATCGAGAGCAGAATCGGGCCCGTGGGAATTCGTCTGCTGCTGTTGCTCTACTGCAGTCTACTGCCTGATGAAACTGTCACAGAAGGCAGGGAGGGAGGGATCAGGAGGAGGACCAGAAAGGACCCAAGGTGTGCCAACGCTGCTGCAATACACCCTCCCGTCCCAGTCCCTTCCTCAGGCGGGAGCTTCGTTTGAGAGAAACCGTCCCCCATCCGAGTAATTGGTTCACAGTCCTATTCTCGTAGCGATGACTGTTGATGAAACCTCAAGCGGGAAACCTTTGTTGAAAAAGCAGCGCCCTCCATCCGCGTCGCTGCTTCCAATGCGATGACGGGTGTGCGCAGCGGCAGCGCGAGAGGCAGTCGCCCTCCACTCGCGCAAGTGCCGAGACATGCTTACAGACGAGCGTGCGCGCGCCAAGGCGAGATTCTCACTCCCCGAGCAGTGATTGCACCAACGCGTTCCCATTTGTTTTCCTTTCGGAAGGCTCCTGTCGTGCCGACTTCGGCGCTGGTTTCTGACACCGCAGGGATCGTTCAGCCTTAAAAGAGGAAACCAAAAACATCAACAGAACTTTTGGCGCTCCGCGCGGGTTTCTTGGATCCGCGCTAGGCCCCCCCTGGCGGCGCCTAAGTTTATGGTTGATCATGCCGATGTTGCTCCCTCGAGTCGTGCCGACTACGGCGCTGGTTTCTGACACCGCAGGGATCGTTCAACCTCGAACGATCGGCCGTTTCCGAAACGTCAGATCGTTCCACATCGACCTACTCGCTCTCCTCGTTCTCCTCGCTCTCCTCGTTCTCCTCGCTCTCCTCCTCCTCCTCCTCCTCCCTCTCCTCCTCCTCCTCCTCCTCCTCCTCCTCCTCCTCCCCCTCCTCCTCCTCCTCCTCCTCCTCCTCCTCCTCCTCCTCCTCCTCCTCCTCCTCCATCCCCCCCCGAGGCCGCCGGAACGGCGCTCCACGTGGCACGCCGGCGGCGGGGCCGCCGCCGGTCGAGACACGTCGCGAGCCGACCGCGGCACGTCGCCGCACGGGCGTGTTGCCCGGTGCGCCCGGTGCTCGGCCGGTGGCCGCCCCCGTGGGCGCCGCGCGTGGCCGCCCCCGTGGGCGCGGCGGTGGGCGTCCGCGGGGCCTCGGCCGCGCGGGCCGGCCCGCGGCCGCGCGGGCCGTGGGCGGGGCGGCGTCGGCGGGGTGTGCGGTGTGTGTCGGCTGGTTGGGCGGGCGCGCCGTGGGCTGGCTCCACCACAGAGTCTCGCTGACAACCACTTGAGACTGTGCCATACATATATATATGTACATATATATATATATATATGTAAATCTACGTATATATATATATATATGTATATATATGTAGATATGTGTATATATATATATGTATACATACATACATACATACGTATAAGAGTGCATCACAGGGCGGCTTGCACCACGCGGCCTGCACCGCATCTGTTGCGCCAAAAAGGAAGCCTGCATCGGACACCGCGTGCATCACACAGCTTGCTCACACGACTCTCAGCACACAGCTTGCACCACACAATTCGCACCACACATCTTGCACCACCTATGTTGCAACACATCTAGTGCACCATGCACAGAACGCAAGACATCGCTCGCAGTTCAAAGATGCAATGACCAACCTCTTGAAAACCATTCGCCCTCCATCCGTGTATCTGCTGGATGGTGTTTCAGACGAGTACGCGCGACGCCGAGGCGAGAGCATCGTACTAAAAACAAACCGCCTTCCATCTGCGTCACTGCTGGAAACTTCGAGCTTCAGCCATAGTGAAGAAAGACGTTACAGGCGTAACGCCTGCGCCGTCTGGAGTGCACATCTGACGGTGCGACAGGGATGAGTTATACTCACCAGGAAGAGGGATGGAGGATGGAAGGGACGAAGGAGGAGCAGAGAGGAGGGGGTTAGGAGGACGAAAAGGAAGGAGCATAGAACATAAAAGGATAAGAGACGATGAGGGAGGAGGATGGAGGATCATAGAAGAGGAGGGAGGGAGAGGACGGAGGAGCGAAGATGAAGAGAAGCAACAAGGAGGGAGGAGAAGAGACCAAGACATAGGGGAACAACAAGTGACACAAACATAAAAACTCAGAACTCCGCGCGGATTTCTCGGATCGGCGCCCCCCTCCCTGGCGCGCGGAGCGCGCCAGGGGCGGCGCCGGAGGCGCCGCCGGGGGGCCCAAGCGCCGATCCGAGAAATCCGCGCGGAGCTCCGAGTCTTTATGTTTATGTCATTTTTGGTTCCCCTGGGGGAGAAGAGACCAAGACAGGATGGGGAGGGAAGGGAGGAGGGGCTGCTGCCGGAGAGCCCGGGCACGCCAGGTCGGAGAGCCGAAACGGCTGCGGGACGAGAGCGCCGCAGCGTCGCGAGATGACAGCTCTCGGCGGGCTGGGGCAGCGGCCTCAGCTGCTCTGCTCGTGCCTTCGATACTGGGCAAGCCTTAAGTCGGGCCTGTCCCCCTACAGGGGGATTTTGGACGAAGCATAACAAATACTCAAAACATATCCCCAAACTGCCAAAAATTGTCAACAACATAGTCCCAATACTTTTTGAGAATGTTTGGGTATTCCTCCTGTAGAGGGACAGGCCCGACTTAAGGCAAACCTCCTATTCCTCCTCCTCCTCCTCCTCCTCCTCCTCCTCCTCTCTCGATCCTGCCTATCTTCCCGCATTGCTCCTCCCGCCTCCCTCCCCCCGCGCCCCCCGTCCTTACACCTCCCCCCTCCGTCCCCGTTGGCTGAGAAAGCATGCCTCCCGACGCCTGTCGGAACTGAGCATCTGTGGCCCGATCAGCGTCGGAGGCTCTGGCGAGCACGCGCCGCAGCACGAGCTTAACATCTGGAAGGTCCAAGGCGGTCCGCCTCCAAATTCTCTCCTCCCCCCTCGTCCTCCTCGGGCGCACGCCGAGATGGACTCGTGTTGGGTCGGGCATGTCCTCCTACAGGCGAATTTTGGAGGACATGGTCAAACAAACACTCAAACATAGTCGAACAAAAACGCCCCCGTACTACTTTTTGACTATGTTTGAAAATATTCCTCCTGTAGAGGGACACGCCCGACTTGAGACTGGCGATCCGTGGATCTTGCGCGCGGGCCCCCCGCTCTGCGGATCGGGGAGGCGCCTCCCCCGAAACTCGAGACCACTGCCACCCGAGTGGGCGTCGGCGCGCGCCGGCTCCACACGCAACCGGGACCGCCGCTGATCCGCGCGCCTTGCTCCACGGCTGCATCTCCGTGCGTCGGCTCGCGCGCCGGTGGTCGTCTGCGGTCCCTCCACGCTCCCTCCCTCCCTCTCTCCCTCGCCCCTGCTCCTCCTCGCCCCCCTCCCTCCTCCTCCTCCTCCTCCTCCTCCTCCTCCTCCTCCTCCTCCTCCTCCTCCTCCTCCTCCTCCTCCTCCTCCTCCGCCTTCCTCCTACTTCTCCTCCTCCTGCTCCTTCACCTTCCTCTTACTTCTCCTCCTCCCTGCCTGCCGGCACTCTCCCGTGCACTGCCCACAGGCGCGCCCTGCCTACTATAGGCTCTCCCTCCTTCTTCCCCCGTCTCCCCCCCTGCCTACAAGCGCGCCTACAGGCCCTCCCTGCATGAAGGCTCTCCCTGCTTACAGGCATCCGCGCTCCCCAATGGCAGCGCATGTAGACGCTACCCCGGGTGCCTTTCTGGCTGAGAGACCCTGTAGGGACTACAGGTCGGAGGCGTCCGCAAAATAGGGAAGCGCCGCGTACGCGCAGGAACCAACCCAAGGTCACACAGTCCACTGTGTCCATGCCTCCTCCCTCCCAAGGTTCCGTCTCTCCTCTTCTTCTCCTCCTCACCTCCTCCTCCTCCCCCTCCACATCCTGCTCTTCTCGTCCTCCTCTCTCCCCTCCCTTCTCTCCCGTCCCTCCCTGCCCTCCTCCCCAGTGCGGGCCCTGCCGATGCCCAGCCAGACGGGCAAGTTCAGGCGCGTCTGCGCCCACGCGAAGATCCACGGGATGGCGCCTGGGGCTGAGGAGGGGCCGCGGCCCTCGAGGCCCCAGCCCTGCCTGGAAGGAGGCGGTCACGAGGGAGGAGGCGGAGGAGACTGGGACGGGAGGAGATGACGAAGAGATGCCCACGAGGGGGGTGGCGAGAGGATGGAAAAGCAGTGGGAAGGGGGTAAGAAAGGGAGATGGATGGGGGGCGAGGAAAAAGGATGAGTAGGAGTAGGAGCAGGCGTAGGAGTAGGAGTAGGAGTAGTAGTAGGAGGAGGAGGAGGACGAGAAGAAGGAGGAGGTTGAGGAGGAACAGGAGGAAGAACATGAGACAAGGAGGAGGAAGAAGATTATGTTGGACTCTGCTGCAAAGCCACACTATGGCAGATGAAGAACCGTAACCTCCCTGAGAGCAACACTACAGACTTGCAAAGCACTCTCCAAGCACCCCAAAAGCGCCAAACACATTCATACGACATGCGAAGCGGCCTCCGTAAAAAAATGCCAGCAAGCAGGACGGGGGGAAGAGGAGAGGAAGAAGGAGGCGGAGGAGGAGGAGGAGGATGGAGAAGAGGAGGAACAGGAGGAAGAGGATGAGGATGAGCAGGAGGGGAAGGAGCAGGAGGAGGAGGAGGAGATGGAGGAGGAGGAAGAGGAGGAGGATGAGGAGGGGGGGCTCTTTCCTAAGAAATGCTGAAGATAATAACAACACCACCACCAACAACAACAACAACAAGAACAACAGCAACAGCAACAGCAACAGCAACAGCAACAACACCAGCAACACCAACAACAAGAACAACAAGAACAACGACGACGACAACAACAACAACAGCACCACCACCACCAACAACCACAACAACAGCGAGAACATGTTCTGGCCAATGCGAAACGGACCGAACACCAACGATCCTTCTGTACGCAACGTGGCCAGTGCCTCGGCGCCTTGACTGTAGAGGGAGAACAAGGGGAGCGATGGCCAGAGGACCGCGAATGGTGAGGGAGGCCGGGGTTGGGAGTGAAGGCGCGGTGCGGGGGTGGGATCGCGTGGGAAAGAGCACTCGCTTAGCCATGTGCCTGCGCACTCCTATCTGGCATATGGCAGACAGCGCAAGAAATGACCAAGCTCCTCCGATCACGGCCCGAAGCCATCGCGTAGCGTTGCCCACCCCCCGTCGTCAATATCACCTAGCGCAATTCTCTCCCAACCCCACTGGTTGCCCTGGGGAGGCGGTTTACACCACCCCCCTTACCCCATGCCGCAAGACCTCTCGCATAAACCAAGCTCATCGCACGATACGGGTGCCATGCGTGCTCGTCTGCTCTCGTTGCTGCTGCTGATTACGGAACTTCCGTGTACAGGTGTTTGGAGTTCTTCACGATCTCACGTGCTGGTCTGCTGTGTTGCTTTGGACGCGCGTTGGAGTCAAGCGCCAACCCCAATCAAGGCAACGAGCTAGCGACCTCAAGTACACACTTCAGGCAATGGCACACACCGTTAGCATATACATACATAGAGATGCCTGTACATGTATTCATATATTGATATATATATATCAATATATATATAGATTGATATATGCAGGCACCTGTATAGAGAGATACGGGTACACACAACTATATATCTATACATGTATATAAGTGTATGTGTATACACAACAACAGCACGCCTCCATTATGCAAACGCTTACCGCCGACGTGTACCACGCCGATCAGCGTGAAAATCAACACCGTAATCGAAATGGCTGCAAGTCTTCCGTGCTCGTTCCGTTGCTGCCGGGATGCCGTCGCCCTCGTCGTCGTCTCCGAAGCCCTGAGCCTATCCCTCCCTAGCGTTGCCCCTAACTCTTCTGGCTGGAACCCGGCTCCTCAGGCTGCCGTGCGGGACGATCTGGGCACCCCCGGAACGCTCTCGGCGAGGCGGACGAGGACAGACGAAAGCGCTCGAAAACCCCCAACGCTGCCCCCGAAACGAAAGCAGTCCAAGTTTCGCCCTGACATTACCCCTGACACCCACGATCTCTGCTGGTCTGCCGTCCTCACTACTCCGGGGCCGTCGACCTCGTCGTCGTCTCCGAAGCTCGTCGTCGTGGCCTCTCCTTCCCGCAGGCCTCCTCCTCAGGTCTGGAGCTGCGCGGAGGAGGTAACGCCGCCAGCCCGAGGCCGTACCGAGGAAGAGAAGGACGAGAAGAAGGACGAGATGGCCGCGAGCGTGAGCGTGAGCGCGAGAAGGAGGAGGAGGAGGAGAAGGAGGAGGAGGAGGAGGGGGAGGAAGGGGAGGAGGAAGAGGAGGAGGAGGAGGAGGAGGAAGAGGAGGAGGAAGAGGAGGAGGAAGAGGAGGAGGAAGAGGAGGGGGAAAAGGAGGAGGAAGAGGAGGAGGAGGAGGAGGAGGAGGAGGAGGAAGAGGAGGACCCCCCCTCACGAAGAGCCACAACTGGAAGAGCTGTGCTACTTGCCCCCCTGGGAGCCCACCGTAAGGAGGATTTCTCGAGATGGGCGTCTCAAGGATGGGTCCACCAAGGGGGGGCAAGAACCACAGCTCCGTCAGTCACGCCGGGTATCCTCTCTCCTACGGGGCACCCCCCGGGGAGACTGGCTCAGGTGAGGAAGCTCCGACCTGCTGCGATGCGCAGGCGATACGCCGCCGATAGATCCGCGATAGCCCCCCGACAGCAACGCCGCACGGTCCTGGGCGGGGCCGGGCCATCGGGCCCCTATCGGCGATGAGTGGGCGATTGGGGGTCGATGCGTCCCCTTAGGCGATTCCCCCACAACTGCTGCCTCCGATACCCCTCGCCCTCCAACCCACCGAGCGCGGCACGCAGGGACTCCACTCCGCCCTTCGGGTTGCGCTTGGCGGGCCGGCTGCCCACGTTCAGGCCCCCCCTTGGGACCGGCGGCCGCGCGACCCCACCGAGGGGGAGCAGCTCCCGCAGCGACCACCAGGGGAGGGGAGGCCCGGAGGACCCCTCGGAGCCCCTCGCGCGGAAGCCGGGCGGAGCAGCGCGAGAGCCGGGCGGAGCAGGCCGCGCGGGCGGCGGCGGCGAGGGCAGAGTGGAGGACGGGAGTGGGCGGGGGGATAGGGGAGGGCAAGAGGCCCGCCGCCCACCCCAGACCCCCGACGTCATGATTTTTTCATGCACGACCTCCAGAGGTCCGGACCGATTCCCCGGGACCGGTTTTTCATCCCGAGTCGTTTTTTGACGGTCCTGAGGGCCGGTAAGGGCCCCGGGAGGCCGAAAATAACGAAAAACCTCCCGTCATGATTTTTTCATGACTCGAGGGGGTCTGGGACCCCCCCGTCCCCCCCTCCCTCGAGCACTCTCCCCGCGGGAGGGGGGGATGGGTGGCGTGCTCCCGGGGGAGGAGGCCGGGAGCCCTCCCTGCTGGAGCTCTCCAGGCAGGACCTCCCTCCCTCGAGCTCCGCCGCCCTCCTCCCCGCCTCTCCTGTCCTGCCCTCCTGCCCGCCTGGGGGGGAGGGCACGGGGAGGATGGAGCCGAGGGGAGGATGGAGGAGGAGGAGGTAGGAGAGAAGGGAGGAGGGGATGGGGATTTGGAGAGGAAGAGTGGGGAAGGAGGATATAGAGAGATGTGCCCAACCGCCTCCTGGCCGAGCTGACTCCCCCTCGACTCGAGCGGGCCCAGGCCTGTGCATCACGCCTCTTCCGACCCCCTTTGACCGCGATCCCCCAGAACGTGAGCATCGAGCCGATTGCGAGCAGCAGTTTTTTCCGAGCGGGAGTCCGAAGACATCTGCGGTGGTCACTGGCACGATCGGCCATCACTCCGATCGGCTGACCCACACTGTTCCTGCTATGCTTCTCCCTGCTGTGCCCACAAAGACTCAATACCACTCATTAACTACTTCGTCCTTACGGTCTCTCTCTCTCTCTCTCGTTCGCCCCATCCTCCGCTCCCAACCGTTGCTCCCTGTCTTCCTGAAGAGAAGGGCCAAGGAACAGCAGCAGGAAAGAGGAGCAGGAGAGAGGAGCAGGAGGAGGAGGAGGAGGAGGAGATGGAGGAGGACGAGGAGGAGGAGGAGGAGGAGGAGGAGGAGGAGGAGGGTGAGGAGAAAGAGGACGAGGAGGAGGCGGAGGAGGAGGAGGAAGAGGAGGGCGAGAGGCTACGACTTCTGCTGCCGCACGTCCTACTCCTCGCTCCTCCTCTTGCTGCATCCTCCTCCTCCTCCTCCTCCTCCTCCTCCTCCTCCTCCCTCTCCTCCTTTTCCTCCTTCTCCTCTTCCCATCCTCACCCTCCTGCTCTTGCCCCGACGACGACGAAAACGACGGCGACGGCGACGACAACAACGACGATCGGCGCGATGCGTCCAAGGGCCAGGCAACTCCAGCTCCGGCGTGGCAGAGCGGAAGTAGGGCACGAAGCGTGGCTCGCCGCGCACCTGACCCGCCCCGCCTCCAAGAGGGACGATATCTGTTCAAGCAGTTTGTCAAGATGCTTGTCAGCGTGGACCGCAGACAATGGGTCACTGCATTCTCGCTGTGCACAAAATGTAGTGCAATCCACGTATTGTGCAACCTATGGACTGTAATGTCCGCCACCGAGCCGCTGGGCATGGAGTAGGCGCCTTTGCCTAACCCCTTAATCCTCAGTCCTCAATCTTGAGGGTCGCAAAAATTGCAAATCTTCTCGTGCTTCCCGCGTGCCCCCAGGAGGTCCCGGCATCTCCCCTTCTGACTTTTTCGGGCCTTTGAGAAGGCCCCGAGAGGCACCGAAGGCAACCCAAGACGGGCCAAGAAGGCCCCGAGAGGCACCCAAGACGGCCCAAGGGGGCCTCGAGTCGCGGAACGATCAATCCAATACGCCCAAGGTGGCTCCAAGACGGCCCAAGAAGCCTCCGAGACACCACGAGAAACCCAAGAGCTCCCCAAGAGGATCCCGAGATGCCAGCATCATTAATTTGCATCGGTTTTCACTGCTTCGGGGGTTCTCCACTTTTCTAGGCTCCGCCGCTCCAAGACGTCCCAAGAGGCCCAAAGACCGCCACAATACTGCCCCCAAAAGGCCCTCAAGAGGACCCCAAGACGGCACAAGAAGGGGCAAAGGGGGGGCCCAAGACGGCTCCAAGAGAGGCCCAAGAGGGCGAACACGAACCGAAAAATCTAACCTTCTGCCCCGAGAGGCGCCCAGGAGGCCCCACGAGGCCCCCAAGAAGCCCCAAGTGGACCCCGCCCCTATGCCCCTAGAGGCCCCCAAACGGCTCCAAAGAGGCTCTCAAACAGCCCCCCTGTTGCCCAAATCTGCCTCCAGGAGGCCCCCCAGGGGCCTCGATGAGATCCCAGCGACCATCCAAGAGGCCTCAGACCAACAACCCAGGCACGGTGGCGGTGCGGGCCGAAGGCCATTAGATACATATGACTTGGTATATGCGCTACAATGTATTTGTTGCTATGTGTGTTTGCAATTTCTGTGCTACGGTGCAGCGGATCCAGAATCTGTTGCGCGCGCAAACTATGTTGGGCAAGATATACGGCGAAGATCCTACCAGCCCTTTAGGACGTGAGTGGTTGAGAGAGTTTCTTGTTCAAACCCACCGACGTCCACTTCGGGGAGGGGCTTACCCCTGCCCCCGCATCCCGCCCCGTGGATCTGGACGGGGGTGTCCGCGAGGAGGTGGAGCTCCCAAAACGGCTTTGACCTCGACTAAGGTTTTGGCCATACGTTTGCCTCCTGGGGGGGACCCTGGTTAAGGAGCCCTCCTCCTTTGATCGATCTCCTCCAAGATAATCCCAAGATGGCCCCCGAGGCTCCCAAGGGTGCCCCAGGACGGCCCCAAGAGGTGCCCAGGAGGCCCCAAGAGGCCCCCAAGAAGCTCCCAAGAGACCCCCAAGACGCCCCAAGAGGCCCCTCAGAGGCACTCACGACGCCCCAAGAGGCCTCGGCGAGATGGCCAAAATCATTGATGTTTACATCGTTGTCGGCACCAAGTTGACCTCCTGGTTGTGTGGCGGGGGGGCTGACCAAGGAGCCCGACTCCGTTGATCGATCTCCTCCAAGACGGCCCCCGAGGCTCCCGAGGGTGCCAAAGATGCCTCCAAGAGGCTCCTAAAAGACATCCAAGCGGCTCCCAGAGACACCCCTAGAGGCAACCAAGACGCCCTCAGAGGACCCCTGGGACTGCCAAGAGACCCCGAAGACGCCCACGAAGACCCCAAGAAACTCTCGAAACAAATCCGAAGAGACTCTGGGGGGGGCATCCAAGAGGCCTCTGGCCTTTCTGCTCGCCCTCTTCCTCCCTCTCCTCCTCCTCCTCCTCCTCCTCCTCCTCCTCATCATCATCATCCTCCTTCTCATCATCATTCCCTTCCTCATCCGCCTGTTTCTCCTCCTCTCTCGTCCCTCTTCCCACCCCCTCCCTGCTCCTCCTCATCTTTCTCATCCTCCGGTTCATCCTCCATCCTCCCCCTCTTGGGGCACAACGTCTTACCCAGCCCTTTATTCCACTGCGGTCTCCACCACATCCCTGATCAGGGCAACTCGTTTGGGCATCGTTTCTGGATGGACTGGTGGGGTCACGCGAAGCGCTCATATTGATATCGTGCGACCTGTGTGGCACAATCTATACTATGTGTCATATGGTGTGCAAGCCAAGCTGTGCACGTCCTGCGGGGGGGCTATATGGAATGCAAACTATGCGGAACAACCCATGTGGTACAGTCCATGTCGCGCAATAGTTAACTCGCAAGCTACGTGATGCACTATGTCTTATGACATATTTTGGAAACCTTGAACTCATCAACCCCGACGCTTGTCCACAACTCGAACGCGCGAGCACCTATCTCGCCCTACCGCCCAAAACGAGATGGCCCGTCATTAACCTGGCATGCCTCCAACCTCATGCAGCTCCATGGTTCGGGCTGGCGAGAGATGTTGATGGTGGCCCTGGCGACGATGGCGACAGCAACACCGACGACGATGATGCTGTTGACGACGACGGTCGGGATGATGACAACGACGATGGTGATGAAGTCGAGGGTGGTGATGACGGCGGTGGCAATGCTGACGCTGGTGATGATGATGCCGACGGTGCTGATGAAGATGGCAAAGAAGTGCGCGTGCGCAAAAACTGGAACATCCTGGCAGTGCTTCACATCTGAATGGCATACGTTGCGCAAGTTGCGCGGTGAAAATGATGCAGTGCGACACGTGTGGAACTGGATGAATACATACTATGCGGAACAACCCATTGGTGCGGCATCCAAGAGGCATCTGGCCTCTCTGCTCGGCCTCCTCCACCTCCTCCTCCTCTTCCTCCTCCTCCTCCTCCTCCTCCTCCTCTTCCTCATTCGCCAATTCCTCCTCCTCCTTCCCCCTCCCTCCTCTCCCTCCCCCTCCCCCTCTCCCTCCCTCTCCTCCTCTTGCTCTTCCTCCTTCCTCCTCCCCCCTCTTGGGGTACGACGTCTTACCCAACCCTTTATTCCACTGCATGCTGCTCCACATCCCTGATCCGGGCAACTCGTCCGGGCAACGTTTTGGTATGGATTGGTAGGGTTACTTTTTTGGTCGGCGACTCCGAGGCAACGGACAAGGAGCGGAAGCGGCGTCCAGGTCACGGTACGGGGCTAATTGCAAGACAATTGCCGCCAGCCGGAGTCGGCAGACAGACTCGCACTTGTTGGTAGGGTTAGATGCGGGGCTATATGTGTGGTACAATTCGCTTGTCGATCTTGCAGCCGTCAACTCCAGCGTATGTTCGTGCAAACAGTCAATCCACCAGCAAAGCACTTCAAGGCAAAACTATACTGGGCGTCGACAGCGACGATGATGCTGATCATGTTCATGACGACGGTGAGGTCGATGCCGACGACGACGATGTAGGCAAAGCTGGAGGTGGTAATACTGACTGTTCAATGATGACACTGGCGATGATGATGATGACGATGGTGCGGGTGGGGATGACCGGGCAGTGCGCGCGCAGAAATTCGACGAGGGCGAAGACAGCGACGATGACGATGGTACCGACGATGGTAATGATGACGACGACGATGGTGATGATGATGATGATGATGGTGATGATGATGCTGATGCTGATTATGATGCTGATGATGATGCGGATGATAATGGCGATGATGATGGCAATGCTGAAGCTGGCGACTATCGTACAAATAATGCTGACGAGGCGTGTGAGAATATGAGCGCGCTCAGACATTCCGAATTCGGGGTAGACGTTTGTTTGCAGCGACACGGGTGTTGGTATGACTTGAACACATACGGTGAACTGCGCAGGCGCAAAGCCATGACTTAAAAGGATTGCGACGTGGCCGCGCGGAGACGCGCGCAAACGGACCGCCTAACATGCTTCGGCGGAGTTCGAGGGACCGCAAGACTTGTGGAACGTGTTCGACATGTGCTCTCGCGTTTCCGGCGCGCTCTCTTCGACATCATGGCCAGACACACATTGCTTTCCCATGGTTCCAGAGAATGTGCGAGCGCAGACATGTGGCAACCTCTTGTCTCATTAACTCGGGGTGCGTGCATCTGTTCTTACGTGAGCACACGGCCGCACGCCTATGTGCCCCACATGATGAACTGTTTCGTTCGAAAAGCTCTGAGACAAACGATACTTCTTGTATCGATGCATGCGCACCGCAGAATACCATTTGATAGACATAGCGGGGGCCGATACCGGTGCAGGCTGGCGCGCTCCTGCCTGATACCTGGGGGTGAGCGATCGCGCACCACGAATGTGCAACATACTACGCGGAGGGATCACGAAAAGTTCGGCCTGGCCAGTGCCTTTTAGGACGACCTGCGTTTAGGTCGGGCGTGTCTCCCCACAGGCGATTTCTGAGCGACAAATCACAAAAATAGGAACAACAAATGCCCCAACATAGTCAAACACAGTCAAGCAAATCGTCCCCTGACTATTTTTTGACTATGTTTAACTATTCCCCCTGTAGAGGGGCAGGCCCATTTGGAACGACACATAAAAAACAACAAAAATGAACCAAAAGAGGAAACATAGCGAAACAAAAATCGGCCGCTGACTACTTTTTGACTCTGTTTGACTCTTCCCCCTGCAGAGGGACAGGCCCGCCTTGGAGCGTGCGCGCGTCCAGAAGCGCCAGCCGGCGCACGAGGCGGCCGCGATGGGGCCCACGGGCGCCCACCGCCCCACGAGAAGCGAAACCCTCCGGCCGATCACCCGAAGACCTCCGGAGGGCATCCCTCCCCCATCCTCCTTTAGGGCTCGACCTAAATAGAAGAAGAATAAGGAAAGGAAAAAGAAGAAGCAGAAGAAAGGCTCGACTTAATTAGGAGAAGAAACAAAAGAAAGGAAGGCATCCCTCCCCCATCCTCCTCCAGGGCTTGACCTAAATAGAAGAAGAAGAAGAAGAAGCCGCCACAAGCATGAACTTTTGGCGCTCCCGGCGGATTTCT